GTGAGAAGCTTAATTTTGAATGATGTGAAATTTTTCAGTAACACCACTGGGACTTGTTTGCATTTCCTTTTGTAACCAGTACATTGGACAGTAAGTTGTTAAAATGTTGTTAAATCAAACCACTGGATAGTAAAACATTAAATAAAAGTCAGCCATGTACTCTTTATTATAGCCCCAAGGCACCTCTTGGCCTGACCTCTGACCTTCAGGTCTTGACCTCTGACCTTTGGGTCTTGACCTCTGACCTTCTGGTCTGACATTAGTTAAATAGACAGGATCTAAAAAATAGACTGCAGCAATACAGACAGTCACTGGGAAATGTTCAACCTCTGGAAATATCAAAAGCATTTCTTTCGTAACATAAACAGTAGCTCCTTCTACCGTATTAGACAAGATTTGCAAATTAAAGGGATTTGCATTGAAAATCCCATTAATAACCTTGAAAATTCTGACTCACACAGAGCACAAATAAATATTTCTTTAACGAGCAAATAAACATTCTGCTCTCATAACTAGTTAAATCAACTGGAAGGTATTTTGGTATTGCCACTTTGCTGCCTAGAAACCAACATTTTAGTGGAAGTTTCAAGCTGGGATACTGTTAAAGTTGAAATAATTGAAAAGGCTGTCAGATAATTGTCCAAATATGAATGACATAGCTTTCTCAGAAATGAGTTCTGACTGTGCTATAACTCAATACACAGAACAGAAAATGAAGATGGCAATACATTCCACATATTGCTGGGTATTCAACACAAATGTTGTCAACAAGTTAATGATCTTCTTCCTGCTATCTTCTGAGAGTACAACCAAAATTTAATCAGTTTTTCTTAAATTAAAAGTCCACCTGCAGATAAATGTCTTCTTTTTGTTTTCGGCATCAAGTCTTGATTCACTTCAACACAAATACAGCAGACAGTGTAGATGGAGCCCCGTGGCAGTTGACTAGTACACGGTACATTATTCACCATCACAGCAAAGTGAAAACAATGTGTGCTTCTCCAAATGTTCATCTTATTCTTAGAAATGTGGGTCTATTTCATCCTCTGTATCTCCACCCCCCCCCCCCCACCCCCCCTGCAGTCTTGTGTTGCATAAAGAAGTTTAGTAATCGTCCATGTCCCAGTCGTCAAACTCTCCGTCCATAGGGCCCTCCATCATCTGGAAGTCCACCTGATAACGCAGGATTCCTGGAAAGAGGATATAATGACAGATATATGAAGTGCAAAATGTCACAACCAGAAGCATTATTGTTACAGTAATTTAAAGTTTACAGTTACAATAACAGTACATGTCAACTCATAAGTTCATGCAAACAAAACCACTGCAGTTCAGTACATTTACTGTTCTGAGAAGCTTTTATTATAACTGAAAAAATCATTCTCATTCAGGATATTTCCCAAATAGGAATCGGAATTTTAATAAGCCGATATTAAAAAGATCAGTTAATCACCCCACACTCGCAATTTAACCATACAATGCAGATCACTGAACTAGATCTATCTGAATGCATATGAATCCTATCAATCCATCATATCTCATGCACGCTCTTTTCTTGAAATTTCTCCAAATATTTCCGGCCCAGCAGGCCTTAATATCCTTGTTCCCACTTTTTACTACATATAAAACAGGCAATAAATACCAATAAGCAAAGAAATTACAGAGAGGCAGTATGCCCTGAGAGGCTGCCCATTCATGTAAGCAGGGTGATTGGATGTAATGCATTGTGAAGTTTAATGCCCAGTTTTGTGTGGGATGAACAATTTTTTTTATTTTTACACCTGGGAAATCTATCAATCTGGAAAACAAGACTGTTACCTCTTTAACTTGTATTTTGAATAACAAAAAGGATTGCAAAGCCATCTCCAAAGATTAGAGGTTACTATTTTGCATTTGTCACACCCAGGTAAGAAATAAAGACCCAAAATAAAATTGACATGATGTGAAAAATGAATTTACATTGACGTTTGCAGTGTTCTCAGAGTCTTCCTTATTTTTTTTTCTTCAAAATAAATACACAACCCAGCTATAGTTCTTTCATATTCATATAGCAATAGTCATAAAGGCCTCCTTAAAAAGAAAATCATTCTATATGAAGTTAGCAGACACTCCTTTATCTTTCAGCCCTCATTCTCATAGAATTTCTTAATGTGTTTTTAACTGATCACTTAATTTACACAAAGTGGAAAATCTCTCAAGTTCTTGGCAGTAAACTGCTCACTTCCTCACCAACAGAGGCAACATGAAGCAATTTAATCAAGTGGAAACATGTTCAGCTGGCAGTCAATCATAAGAGAATGCATGTTAAGATTCCGTTTACACCCAACTAAAACCTTAATAAGCTTTAAAAGTAAGTATTCCAGAATTAAAAATCAGAACCAGCTGCAGATATAAAGACTTGCAATCTAGGCAAGGCATATTCCCTGCTGTTGGCTGTGGTTATCCATGGGGCTCATGCTTCCAGTTAACTACATACACCCTGGGTGTCACGCTGCTGTTGGCTGTGGTTATCCATGGGGCTCATGCTTCCAGTTAACTACATACACCCTGGGTGTTGCACTGCTTCTTAGATCTTTGTCATATTACAGATAACTTAAGTCAAATCTTTGTCTCTATGATGTAATATTTCTAAAATTTTATAGGAATGGTGCATGTGTAAGGAAAAACCCGTTTTATAAAGAAGCCAAATTGAAAATATTCATAAATCATATTTTTTGTTTGAATAATCTGAAAACTTATTTTTCAAATTTAAACCTCAAATACTATACCGACCCCCCACCACAAATAAAAAAAATACCTGTTGTAAAAACCTCTTCCAAAATGACAGAAAGATAAGTTGAATTATGATTCATTTAAATCTCAGTGACGCATTATGATTCATTTAGAATCAAGTTATTCAGCATGTTACAAAACATTGAATCCAAGTGCAGGGATGGGTCGAGCAATGACTTTTGAACATGTGAAAACTGCTTCCTTTTTGATCATAAATCAGATAGGGTGCTGCAGCTGGTCTGAGCTTTAAGGTCAAAATTATTGGTCACCTTCACCTCTGGTTCAACCTGTAGTAGTCTGCTTACATAAAGCATCACTCTAATACAGTACATTCATAATTTGTAAAACATCCAAATAGTCCCATTTAGGCGGGACTTAAATCTTTTTATCCTGGGACCAAATTTCAAGTTTTTTTTTTTTTTTTTTGAAAGGGGCGGGGTAGGGGGGGCAGGGCGATTCTGGCCCCTGTAACCAATGTCTGTTCATGACCTGACCAACAGAAGTCGGCTGTCTTCCTTTGCCACCCCACATGTGGGCGTGTATATTGCCATGAAGTAAAAATATGAGTGTAGTTCTAAGGCACAGATAGCACCTGGTGCCTTAAACTCCTTCATGCACTACACCATTTTTCTAGTGTCCATGTCACATAGCCCATATATCCGGTGCAAAAAGTTTATTTATTCATTTTGTTATAATAAATTCCTTTTAGTGTAGGCCATACATTTTCCTAGGTACATGTCTTCTTTCGTTTCCATGACGTAAATTAATCACGGTTGCTCATAGAGGCACCTGTCAATTGTCTTAAGCAAAGTTCCTGTCATTTCTATGCCACTCAGGGTAACTAAACAGATACTCACTCCCAACACTGTCTGCCTCTCCAACCTGTAAAATCTCTAGACCATAGATAAACCTAAACCAAACTCAACAAGGTAGAGAAATTCCAATCAACTTCAAAGACAGGCACCAGCTAGATCTTCCTCGTCTGTGAGCATTACGTAAGGAAAGTGTACGGCACGCACGAATTCCTGCATTTCAGGCAACCCTTCAGAGAATGGTTAGAGTACACTTGTTGATGTCCAGATTAATTTTAAGTGAGGAGTTTGGCATTTCTTTAATATTTCCTTTTTCCAACACTTGAAATTATTACTGCTGGTCAAAATTTTAGAGCAAGAGCATCTAGTTTTTTAAGTCCTACCTATTTTGAGCTCAATCTCAAGCTGTGACTATAAAGTATTTATTTATCTATAACTGCCCCCAGGTTAAGTTTTTGCCTTTGTTGGGTAATCAATGAACAGCATAACTCAGAAAGTTAAGGACACACTTTGAAAAAATTTTCGTGAAACATCAGAAATGGGCTAACTTGGAACTGTTTAGAATTTGGTGTTGATCCATCAATTAATTATAATGAAAAATGAGAAGCTTTGACTGGATTTTTGTTCTCATGCTCTCTGGGCACTTTTGTAGCATTTTTTATTTATTTATTGTGATTTACCACTCAATTAAGCAACATCCTCCTAAACTGTAACGTGATGATTAAGCAAAACTGGTCTCCAGGTGTGTTGCGTTAAAACCCTTAAGGTGTTTACCTCCTATTCCTCCAAATCCTTTTACAAACTGTGCTCCTTCTTGCGATCTGTCCGTGATTATCTCCAAAGTGGCACCTGATCATTACAGAAAAACAAGGAAATAAATTATGGCCAGTCCTTTTGACATATTTTAATAATTACTCACAAAATTTAGGTTTATTTATTCGCCTGGTTTGATCATACTAATGACTTCATATCATACCAGTTGATTGGACTAATTACTGTCTAACAAACCAATATTAACATTTTAAGTATAACAATGAATTCAAAGTAGTTTCCAAGTAAGCAACACAAGACAAAATATTTGGTAAATGCTAAAAACTTAAGTATTGTTATATCAAAAACATTTGAATCGCACTATTCATAAATTTCTCATTAATTTGCCCCCAAAAAATGTATCAGCTGCCAAATTCGAGCTGTTTGGCTTAGATTTTCAATGAATACTTGCCGAAAGTTTTGTAGTTGTTAGCTAACCACTCCAGTAATGGCTGGCTGTCTGACAACTCCAGTTCCACTCCAGTCTGAAATGAGATCAAATAATACAAAAACATTACTACGAGTTTAACTGAAAAAATCAACATCTATTCATTCTCTTGATTCAGTCTACTAAAACAAATTTTACTTTCCTAAAAAAATTACTTTCAAAGGTATGTTGCAAAACAGAGGGAAGATACAGCAATATCAATTTTTTCATCAATACTCATGTAAAAAATTATGATACTGATAATAAAGCTTGTTTATTTATGAATCCTAACAAGTGTATTTTGCAATTTTCACAATGTAGCCCAGGCTAGATAGGGGTGAACCTGGGAAAATTGCAATAGAAGTTTTTCACAAAGCATTTCCACGAAGTCCCAAAAGCATCATGAATAACAAAAGTCCCACAAAATCCCTGATTGGGAAACACAAAAAATATGAAAAGGCCATCACATACCATTTTGGATTGATGAAATGGCATCGATATTCCAAATAGTGAAGGGATTCATATAGACATATTTCCAGGGCATGACTGGGCCGAAGCAGTAGCATGAGGTAAGATCATGTATGCTACTATGTATATTCCTATGGTATTTGGCAACCATTTTGAATTTTTAATCTTTCCCATGCAGGTGTTTTGTGGGTCTTTTTATACATCTCCAGGGTGGTGCTAGCAATTTTTTTTGTTTAGCCAAATTCCACTTTTTCATTCCTTTTTGGTCCAAATGGTTTAAATTTGACTAAAATAATTCATATCAACCCCATTTTGTTTAGCCAATTTCAGTCAATTTTAGCATTTGGCTAAATTGGCAAGTGTTAGCGCTACCCCAGCATCTGTTTTTAACATAAAATACACTGTCGCAGACTCCTCAAAATTACTGAGTACTGAAATCCCATTTATCAGCACATGCAAAATCCATTTGCAAAGGTGAAAAGATGCATTTTCACTACAAAAACAACAAATACTTGCTTCTGCCAATATCAAAGCTATGTTAACAGGCAGTTTCAGTAATAAATGTTCAGTTTTTACTCCCGAGCGTAGACTTTTTATTGCCCCTCCAATTACGTAATCACGCTCACTAATGATAATCTGTGTTGGGCTGATCATTCACCTCATGGGTTGCTTTGAATCATGTTCTAAAAGCAAATATTAATCAAATCTTCTACATTACATCAAAAGTTAGTTTTTTTATTTGGAAAAAAAAAACTTTGGGAAAATAGTCACTAATGTTATTTTTCTACAGATCACACCAGTTCTATTCCCAATATCCCCATTTCATCCTGCTCCGGGACAACATTAGCATTTCATTCCAAATCCCTAGGAGAAAGCTTAATTGTCTATGGTTCCCAGCAGACTTCCACTGCATTATTTCAAGAAACAAAAACTTGTGCCGCCTCCACAAGTTAGTTACCTAGTACCATCTAGAGAGCTGAGGAGTGACATAAGAACAAGCAATCACTGGACAACATCCAGTTCTTGTTCCCTACCAGGTACTTCCATTATTTGCACTAATTCAAAATCTAATAACCATTCATCTTCATATCCATACTGCCAGACAACAGACACTGTGCCTCTGAACCATGCATCCAAATGTCAAGCACGGCTTAGGGGCAGAGACTTTCTCTGGAATTGGGCCACTTCTCCGCAATCTCTTTACGTCCCCCATTAATTAAGGACATTATAGAGATCCAGCTCCATAACTCATCAAGCAAGTACGCATTACCTTCAGCAGAAGAGATTCTATCGTGTGTCCTTACTGTGGGTAACACATCTCTGACTATATGTCAATACCCAATATCTCCACAGTCAGCATGTGCCTTCACTGTGTGAACAGGTTATAACTTACTATTAATGTAGACCTGATATCCCCAAATGTTTTATCTGGCACGTTCCAAGTTAATTTATAAAATCAGCTAATATGTTATTTTGGTTTCTTTGGTAAAAAAAAAATCATTAGCTGCATAAACTACAAAAAAGGGGTGTTCTATCTCAGCAAGTGCCGATACTTTAAATAATTAAGGCACACAATTTAGATTTATCTTTGTACAGCAAAACATTACTTTTCCTAGAAATTTCAGTACTTTTACCTTAAAGGTAGGTTTTGAAAAATCCCCAAGTAATATTTTTTGTCTACATATCCTTATATAGTATTTCCCAAATCAGACCTTAAAAACTATAAAACCTGAAATAAAAGTACATAAATGTTAAGGAAGTTGCTGCGTCATTAAATTAAAATTAGAATAAAACATTGAATCAAAGTGCAGGGACCGATCACGCAATGATGCGTGAATAGAAGAAAATTGCTTTTTTCCCCTTGGAGAAAAGATCATGTTGGCAGGTAAATCCCCCATAGATCGAGTACATTTAATTACCATGGCACACCCTATAGAAAAATTATAGCTATAAACCTATCTTAGCCTAATTTCAAAAGCCAACTCTGCGATAACATTTTCCAACCTGCAGATATAAGTGTTGCTGACAGATCTAAATGTTTAATAGCTTCCTTACCAGCATACACATCCCTTACTAATGACATAATACATGGCTTATAAAACTGCTTACGGCTATATGAAGTATAATAAAGTATTATGAGATGGTGTTGTGACAGCAATTACTAGTGCTTATGTCAAACATCCGTACTTATTCCACTATCATTACAACATATTGTAACAAAATATGCATAATGGTAAATGCTCATGACTACATATACATGTTATCTCTAAGTCTGGTTAAGTACAAATGTGTTGATACAAATAGATATTTTTATCCTACTTTAAAAAAAACTTTTAAAATAGAATTGAGAGAACAATGCTGATGGCTGGGTTACTGTGTTACTTCACATATCCCACCACCCACAGTCTTGGAGATGGTTCTCATCCTCTCCTCACCGCTAGCCTGGTGAGGACCCTGGAGAGGACCCCGGGGAGTAAGGACCAGAGTCAAGTCCCCTGACTGTGAAGGTGTGCAGCTTCTATTAACACTTTGTCAAGGTCTATAAATGCAGAGAACAAGTGCTTTTTCCAATTAACTTCCTGCAGTTTTTGAGGTGGGTCTGGCAAAAATGCTTGTACCTGAGGATAGATGCAGTCGGATTTAATTCACATGAACCAACATCTTGGTGACCCCGCTGTCCTTGTTAACCTTTTAATTAGCTTCCCCGTCATTTCATGATGGAGCTCCCAGCTAATGCAGCAGATGCTTTCTTTGGCAGGAGTTCCCAGTTGGCAGAGGTATTGATTGAAATTTTTACACACATTACAACACGGCAATAAACTGAAGGAATCTATGAAGTCATAAACAACACTTTCAACTAATTTTGCAGCCTTTTAACACCATGTTCAAACATGCAGCTTAATATGTAACTAAAACATAAACTAAATTATTTGAGATCCAATCCATGTGTTTCCTACTGGAAACAATTCAAGCCATAAAAGAGAGATGAAAACAGAATGGAAAAAAAAGGCTTCCCATTTTGGTGTTAATTTTCCTCCCTTTAAAAGGCACTTAAGGCTAATATGACGTTTTCCCCACCCACCCACACGGATATACCTATATATTGAGGGCAAGTTGAGAGTATTTTACTTGATCTATGTCTTAAACCAATTGTTTAATGGGTTTTATCCTCCAGATATACTGACAAAAAGGCAGACGACCATCGCTTTCACAATGGATTCAAACCAGCAGTTCTGATTGGCTGAAAGTCTTATGGCACATTTGTGAGGCTGGAAAAGGGGGGTCAGTCTTCATTGTGGCAACTTGCTAGGTATGGCACTGAGGAGAGCCAAATACTGCCAGGTTAGTGAGTTTTGCGGGTAATATTCAAGGAGATCCGATGATCATCAAAGAGATTAGGATAGTTTTGTGATGTATGACTAGCCAGCTGTCAGCGGCAAGTAGTTCTCCACTCAAACTGAACCATTAGCAGTGAACCACACATTGCGCAGAGTTTTTTGTACATCACTGAATCAGGAAATCAGTCCAGAGCCAATGTTTCTACACATTTTCCTCAACGCAGGAGTGTTCATTTTCCTTTCTTCAGTTAGAAAAAAGGATCTCTTTTCAAAGTGACAAGTGGATATTAGTGGATCTTGTCTTCATTTGATTTTCTTTTGAATTTAAGAGAATCTGGGAACTGGGACTTTTCTTGAAGCATATCTAAAGGTGTCAAGTGTCTACAATGAGGACAGCAAGACATTCTTAAATAGAGAAAACAGTTCAACATCACTGCTATGTAAAGGAGAACTGTGATTATTTCAAAGCAAAAGTTATGAAAAAATAACTGAAGATTCAGTAAAAACAAAACAAAAATATTCAAGATGAATAGTTCTTCAAACTGTACATATGACTTTGAAAATGATGAGGAGGATTTTCTTGCCTTCCAGTATGTGATAGAAATTGGAATCATAGGGCCAATGTGTATATTTGGTCTCATCGGCAATGCCCTCTCCTTTGTCATACTGTTCAGAGAAAACGGGAGCTCTCCCACTTTCTTCCTCCTAAGAACTGTTGCTGTAGCCGATAGCCTGATGCTGGTAACTTCACTGTTGATGTACGTGGTACCGGGACTAATGCACTACTTCAAAATGGACAGCTACTCACATTACAAGGCGTATACCGCGGTGTCAATTTGGCCATTTGCTATGATGGCGCAGACGTCCACGATATGGATGGTGCTGGTGGTCGCCATTGAACGCTACATTGCCATCTGCTGGCCCACTAAGGCAAGGATGCTGTGCACCATTTCTCACGCACGGAAGGAGGTAATCGGGGTGACTATTTTCTCAGTGTTGTTCAATATTCCAAGATTCTTTGAAAACTACATCACAGAAGATGGGTGCTCTATGAAGATGAGTTTTGACTTCACAGAGCTGTACAATAACCCTAACTACCGAATATTCTATACAGTGGTCCTCTACTCATTGGTCAATGCGGTCATCCCTCTCATTACGGTCAGTTTTATCAACATTAACCTAACATGCTCACTGCGCCAGGCCAGCAAGGCAAGAAAGAACATGGGAGTTCCGATTAAAGTACTGGAGAAGAAAAGTGAGTCCTCCATAACTTTGGTGTTGGTTTTGATAGTTGTTGTATTCATTATTTGCCAAGTCCCTGCCATGATAACTCATATATGGGGTGAAATTATTTACCACCTGGCGGAACACTCTACTCTGATGAACTATAGATATTTTGCTGTGTTTAGCAATGTTATGGTCATTCTGAACTCTTCTCTGAACTTTCTGATATACTGTGCTGTTGGGAAGCGGTTCAGAAAACTCCTAAAAGTCGAGTTCCGCAAGTTGTGTTGCAGGAAGTATCAATACGTGCCATCGCATTCATTTTATATGGACAAGACAGAATTGACGACAGTGTCAACAAAGAGACTCACGTGTTCTCACAGCAAGTCTTGTTCATCCAGTGAAATGGAGGAGCGCAAGGAAACACTGACGCATGTTCTTTCATAAAAGATAATTTGGTTACAATTTCATTACCCCTATAGACAGTATGGATCATGTTCAGCTTCTTTTATCTTCCCTAAAATGTTTCTTTAAAATAACATGGATTTGCACTTTCATTTGATGATTAGGCTTAATTTGAAATTAAGTCCTTATTCAAGCATTAATCTATTGAAGTTCACTTGCATAATTATTTAGATATTGTTTAAGCAATGGGCTACTCTGATCTAGCTACAGAAGATGATTGTGATTTTTAAAAAAAACCTACTTATACGCCTGAATTCTTCATATTTCTATAGAAATGGAATGCATCTGTATCGCTGATGGGGATTTACTGCTATTAATCAAATTGGTTTCATTCTACAAGGCAAATTTAACAAAAATACCACACAGGAATTGTCTTAAAATAATGGAAATTGTCAAAAACACGGTAAATCCCACCTAATGACACTTAAGGGATAAATGGCATAACTGCAACTGCTGAATAAATTCTTAATGTTATCGATGATTTAGCCTTAAAGATAATGAATTCAAGATGCATGCAGGATTTCAGAATGCTAGCAACAGACAGAATGTATTGATTGTACCAATTTTACTGAAAAATAAAAAGTTTTTGTATTGCCATGTGGTACAAAGCAGTGTTCTCCCGAAAATTGTTAACACCATCCAGACATCATGTCTGACATGGAATGGCTCTTTTTCAGACAATTCTCAATTCATGTCAGACATATTTGTGGCAGCCATTAAATCGGTGAATTCATGAAACCAAAGGCTGAGTAATTATTACTATTATACCACTGGAAACGCATACCAGGTCGTAAAATTACTTCACCTGATGTCTAGCAGAGATCATGATTTCAAGTTTAATATATAATTTATGAAACTGCCATAGAGAAGACAACATAATATATTTCAGAACTTCTACCACACCAGCAGGGTCATAATGGGGAATCTTACTTTTAATCATTCACATAAAACTATTGTTTTATAGAAGAAAAAAATGAAATTATTTTGTCTTGAGTCATGAGGATCCTCTGAACTGATAAATCATTATGGGGAATCTCACTTTTAGGAACATTCTGTTTTATAGAAGAAAAAAAAAAATGAAATTATTTTCTCTCGATTCATGAGGATCCTCTGAACTGATAAATCACAAGAAAAAATGTCTGTCACAGTAAAAACTGGCAGAAATGTGAAGAGAAATTCATAATTATGTAAACTGTAGGGATAAATTGCTGTTATTCAAGCCATTTGGTCTTTCCAATGATTTTACTGCTCTAAGAGTTTAATTTTTTACATAGCTTGAAATCATAAATGCAGCCTCCCATCTCTCAATATGTACCACCTCCTCCTTGCATGTGGCTTCTTTTTTGTCATAACTGTGGTGATGTTTCAAATATATCTCTAAAATGATGGATGCTTGTTGCTTTATTGATCAATTGACAACAAGTTTACACAGTTCCACTGTTCAGATACTGGATAGGAAAAGCACTGCACCATGGACACTCCAGTATAATTTTCTTATTATATGACGATAACTAAAAAACCAAATAAACAACAAAATAAATAATAATAAATAATTAAATCAATAAATAAAAATAAAAAAAATAAAGGGAAAATTTATTTTTTTGCCGAAACATTTTTTTAACCAATAGAACCCCGTGTTTTAGTATGCATCTAAATTATAAATGCTTTTTTTTATAATAAATTGGATGAGCTCATAAAACAACTTACCACATACACTAAATTTAGACTTAATGTACTGGTACTAAAAGAAGATCAGGATTTCCTACTGATATGTCATCATTTGCTGGCCTTAAATTCACTGCGTGTGGCATCTTCACCTCCCAACTCTTTGATTTTGTGATTTATTTTACACCATAACCTGAGCCTGGACATTTCTATTAAACAAGAAAATATAGTAGTTTTCACGTCAAAAGGTCTCACCTCTCAACATTTCCTATTCAACAGAATATAAACGTTGTGTTTATTTTTAAATAAATTTTCAGTATTCCCAAAAGATAGTGAACTATCTGCTCTCAACTCCTATTAACCTTAAACAAAAACATAGTAACATTCTAGTCATTTAGGAGATATTTACTCCCTCCTACTCACTTTCTGGCACTCACACGTAGGAGAGATTACTGCCATTTACATACTATGATTAAAATGAACAAAAAGAAAAAAAAGTCATGAAGGCAAACCAATACAATAATGCCGACAGGGTAGCTTTAGTATAGGTGTGGGGTCAATAAAATATTGTGCTTTGGAGTCATTTATGTCAGCTGAAATGACAAGTTAGACTTATTCCCCTCTGACATTAGATCTGATAAGCTATAGAGAGCACTGCCACTGGTGGGCAATTATATTGATGGATCAGACATCAATGACCCAGGAATGATTTGTCATCTGACTACAGAACTTCAAGACCATCAGAAATTATAACGTACAGATGTATCAGAAAGCGACATCCTTATTTCAAATGTATCAAAGCAGACATTTTTGCTTTCATGTTATCCTGCTAGCTCACCTTGGGGAAATATTAGTTATTGGTGCTCTTTTCACCAATCTTTATGGCTGTTTTCAAGGAATTAATCAAAACTGTCTATTACTATCACCCAGGACATAACATGTTGACAATGCCTCTTACTGTGGAGATATTAGAACAGTTTGGATTGAACAACCCCTCCCTACGCTGTGATAAACACATACAAAGCATAAAGAACTTGATATAAAATATAAAACCACTTGGTAAAGGGACTACCACAATTATTAATAATAAGTATCACTACACTAGAATATGAGTGTTGGCAAAAAAGAACAGATAATCACCATAGTAACTGCAAAGTTTTAATGGTCTTCTTTGGGTTTCCTTGTCTCGATATATCATTTAGTACCACACAGCGAGGCTAGAGGAAAGATAGCAGGAAATGTCAACTTTTCCCTTCACTCTGTCTACTTCAAACTTAATGAAAGTCACATTATCTAAACAGAGATTTGGCGCACTGCAATTCCATGCTGTTTTCCTAAGTTGACCGCAAAGCAACTCTCTTTCTTCCTTTCAAAACACCACCTCATCTTCAGAGATTTTCATTTCTGAGGCAAGTATTGATTATATGTAGTCAAGTTCAATAAATTTAGGCCACTGAGTATACTTAAGTTCTGATCTGATCTTGTAACATTTTAAGTTTCACTGGCAAACTTCTTAATTAATCTCTCAAAATAACCTTATCTAAAACCTTTTTTAAACTTGTGGGTGAGTCTGCACCCATTCACAGAATACATTCCATCAACCTCTACTCAACCTTGTGTAGCAGGTGCCATTCAAGGGCAACTTTTACGTCTCCTGCAATCTCAAAATCTACTTCTTCAAAGATGATATGGAACCATATGTCTGCCATTGAAAATAACATTGTCCATTTTCCTTAATCAACACCAGTTACTTTGACAAACCACAACTCCTTTAAAGTGCCATTGGTGTGTAATTCACTCAATTTCACATCCCATGGTGAAAATTTTTGATTGCATACTAAAAATATATAATTTTCAGAAGCTATCGGGCATCTTCAGGTAATGTCCAGGTCTCACAGGAGGAAACCTGAATGAAAATATCATGCCTTCAGACCTTTTAACGAAGACCTAGTTATGCGTTAACCACAAGTAATGAAATAATGTTTTTCAACGACTAATGACATTTGCGTTAATCCTAAAGTAACAGCCTTGAGAATGCCCTCCTGTGTGTAACACAACAGTGCCACTCCTGGCAGCCTGATTACAGACAGGTTGTCACCGATGGCAGTGTTTTCTTTTGCCTCTATTTTATGCATTATTGAAGCTTGAAGGAACGATGACCTTGTGGGGACGTTGGATCAAAGTAAACAACAGCCGAAGAGTTTCAAATCTGCATGATGCACAGCCACTTAAGCAGCAAAACACGATTTAAATTTGGTTTTACCTTGGTTTTTAAGCAAGTTTTATTTTTTGTCACATAAAGATGGGGGTTAAAACCAGCAGGATTGGTCCCATTCAGGTCCCTGCCATTGATACTATGACTAGTCCCTGTCCCTTTATCAAGTTCAGACAAAGAACAGACATAAATGAGCAATTACTCTTATCAAAGCTCCAGGATGAAGATTGACTTGCAAATCACTGATATTTTTCCCAATAACTTTCCAGTATTTCACTGCTGCTATTGACCTATACAATCTCTGCAATCTCAACTGTTTTTGCCATTTCTGCACACGCAATGGGGCTTTTAGTTAGATTTTGGCAAAACACAGGAGAGTTAATAACAAACAGTAATGACATTAGTAATCCTAAGTATACACAGGTATGTACCATTACAATATTCATCTTCTCTGACAATTATAGACAATGCAAATACCCCTATAAATATTTTCACGATATCATTTTCTTAAAAAATCAACAGCCAACTACTTACATCTTTATCAGTAAAATATGTCTTGTCCTTTTCTTGCTCTGGCTTTAAATGCAAAATCTTTTCCTCTGAAAAAGCAAAATCAGGGGCTTTATGTTTTTCTTAGGCAAAACCAAATAAACCAATGTGCATGGTACAGTTAAGAGATAAAGAGGAAACACTAATAATCTACCATGATATCCAAAAAACTAGGGAAGAAAATACTATTGATCAAGAACTAAAAATTCAATTTTTGCGGGCCAATGCCTTAAATGTTAAGCTTTAATGGAAGATTTTCAATTCACAGCCACTGCAGCATGAACATTTTGAGATCTTCAATATCAACTTCAGCTTACCGTCTGTGGAGTGGTTTTTTAGTACATATCTGGTTATGTCAAGATTTTCCCACACGATAAGGGTCTCAACGGAGCCCATCTCAAGGGCTTTCAGCGTGTCCTCAACACCAAAGCAGTATTTGCCTGTATCTTGTGAAATTTCATCAAAATAACGCCCTGCAGAAGAAATATCACACAAGATAAATCTAAAAACAAAATAGATGTTTAAATTCTACATTTGAAGTTTAAATGTAAAGAATGGCTGATATTTAAAAACAGATGCATTGTTCATTTGAGACAGAAAAATTGTGGGTAAAAAAATTCTCACTCAACATATTATTCACTGCAACTACAAAATCAGTCGACTTGATCCTACAGTTGTGACGTGGAGCCTAATGCAGTAGTTGTGATTGTGCTTGCTTGCACCATTCATACTACATGAATGTGCTTCTCATAAATTAACTTGTGACAATGCATTTCAAAAAAATATCTCACCAATGAGCTTTTTTTCCTGAATAAATTTGACATTTGATAATGAGTCTGATGCCAATTCTATGGCCTGGTTGAAACCATTCTCTCCTCCATAAGATACATCAACCACTTTGATGATTTTGCATTGAAGGCGCTGCAAAGAAAAATGGTAACTTGGATAATATGTAATTAAACTTAATCTGTGCTTAGGAGATTTAAAACATTAATAGTGAACAACCAATCAAAATAATATTAATTAAGTATTAAATATTACTTCAGTTGGTGTGTTAAGTGTACTTGGTGCCCAACCTAAAACTAAAACCCACTCTATTATCAAATCAAACATTTCATGTAGACGTGGGAAATAATTCATAATTCATTTTTAAAAATAGACTTGCTCTGGATATTGGTGTTATAATGAAATTAGGTTAATTTAGTGGAGATCCATGGAGAACCATTACTCGTTTGATGTGAAAGTTTCGTTTGGCTTCTTTGCTGATTTGGTTACATCTTGGGCTCAGGAATATTCCTCATTAAAGAGACCTGAGACAACAGACTCAGTCATCACATCTACCCAAGTCTTACACCCCATTTCCATAGATTTTTAGATCGATCTATCCCTGTGGGGAGTCTCACTAGATTACTGTCAGCTTAGCCGGCTTAAGGGTCTGTCCAGCCTACTGAAAGCTGTAAGGGGGTAATTGACCATGGTGCGCGCTCGGCTGACTGCAATTTAGCTTGAATCCCCAGGGAGTTAGGTCGATCTAAATCTTAATCCCTGGATCGATCTAAATCTCTGGGAATACACCCTTAGTATGATCAAGTCAGCAGAAGAGCTGGACAAAACAGCCATCAAGCAAAGGTTTTCTATAGAACTATCCAAAATGAATTTTATCTCAGAATTACTAAACCATATCCAAAGGAGTTGCTAGGACTTTTGGGATATTGGTTTTAACATACAGGATCAAACATGTCTGACTGGCTCAGTTCCGTTTTGAAGTCTGCAGATCCGGCGAGGACCAGACCTGCCACGTTCGGCTTGTCATTGGTGATGAAAAGTGTAACTGCTGTCTCAGCAACTTTCCGCACGTAGTTGTGACGTTTCTCCATACGAAGACGTGCAAAACGCAGGGCTGACTGACCTCCACGACCTGAGGAATCAACCATTTTTTAAACATGAAAAAGTTAAAACTATTTCAACATTTCATTGTCACATACTCCACAATACAAATACATCTCTTTAAATAAATGTTTTTCTTTTTTATAAATGCACAAAAGTGTTATTACACAGGCCCTAAAATGCATCCAAAGTTCACTTTACTCAATATTTTACTCACCATGTATTCAGTAAGAAAGTTAAAAGGATAAAAACTGTTCATTATGGCCAAAAAATGAATTTACCTGGGGTAAACACCAAGTTTTCCAAACTTACCAATGGTTAATGAAGCCATTTCTACATTTAAAAGTAGTCCCCGTTTTCCCCCCCGTAATAATCTCTTAATTCACTCACCGTGTTTCTTGGGTAAGTCAACAGTAAACTTGTGCAGGACCTCCCTCGTGTTACCAGACAAAGTACCAAACAGTGCCCCGTTACCATCCATTATTATGAAGCCAAACTTATTGTCATCTTCCAGGAGTGCTGTCAAGGCCTGGAATTAGAAAATGAAAACAAATAGTTTAACTGACATAAATAAGATCAAACATGGAGGTTTAAAATGAATGTTCCCCAAGTAAATACACAAAGGTTTGCTTTTCAGCCATTCCACGAAAAAGGGTACAATTCTGAATAATACCTGTCGCAGCTTATTTTCGGTAGTAAAAGCATCTGCAATTTTGCTTTTTTTAGCCTTTTTTAGCAGGACCCGATGTGTTCTACTTAAAAAACAACAATTAATATAGTACCACTTGCTTTGACGGGAACCCCGGGG